GAGTGTGTGTGCGTGCGTGCGTGCGCGTGAGATTGTGTGTGTGTGCGTGTGTGTTTGTGACTGAGTGTGAGTGTGTTTGTGTGTGTGTGTGTGTGAGTGAGTGTTTATGTGGGTGAGTTTGTGTGTGTGTCTGTGTGTGTCTGTGTGTGTGTGTGAGTGGGTGTGTGTGTGAGTGTGTGTGTGTGTTCACAAGCTGTGAAACTCACCAACAATCAGTTTTGCTGTACTTTTGCTAAACATCTGAACTCACTGGAGTGCACACTATTGGGAATCTGTGTTGCAGACTTGGCACATTTTTCTGAAGAAACCTTTAGTCTAGAAACTCATTCCAGCTAAAGACACAAGTCTCACCATGTATTTCAAATCTGAGAATAATGAAATTATTTTAAGGTGATGCTGTGTAATTTTTTTTCATGAGACTTTTTTGGGCAAATCAAAGAAAATGAGAGAAACATCTAGTACATTTGGTGCTGTAAGGGCAGAATTTCCAAACGCAACTTTTGCCTACAGCACAAATGTAAAAATGAGCAATTTGCAAATAAAACAATTTAATGTGTTATTGAAGTAATACTTTAGTCATTTATTTTTATTGAATACTCTGTTGACCTGTTATGATTAATACACTGTATTTGAGTTCTACTTGTTGAGTATAAAAATAGTATAGATAAAGATAAATGTTTTGAGTTGCAAATAATAATAATTCATAATCATGCAGTACTTTTTTTTATAATCATGACCTTTACCTTTTTGAATAACTTAACCACACTTCACATTCAGTGCTTTTCACAATTTTGCATGGTTGCAAAGCAGCTTTACATACATGCAGAAACTAGTTACAAAAGTAAAGATGTAAACAACATATAGCAAGTTAGTTTGAAATGAAAGACATTCACGTACTTGAGTGTGTGTGTTCTTGAGAGAGTAAGCAAACACCTAAAACATCCTAGCAGCTGCATATCAATGAAGAACTGAAGTTTGTGGGGTTGAACGGGTAGTTAGTGGCTAGTTAATCTAGTTGTTGTGTTGTAAATCAGCAGCGAGGCGTGTGTTTGGCGCAGCAGCTGGTTTAGTCTGTGGGTTCGGAGGGTTTGTTTGTTTGACTGGAGCTGATAAGATAAAGAGAGCATGTTGTTCAGGGTTAAAACAACAGCAGCGCTGCGAGACAATACTCGCAATTAGCATTCCATTGTGTGCTCATTAGCACTGATCTCAGGTCAGCGAGGAACGGCAGGACTGTTTGTGTTCTCAGACAAACACTGTAATCCTGTCAGAGTCACAGCTGAGCCAATCAGACATCAGAACGAGATCATGATCGCCGGAATACTGGCCTCTGATTGGTCAGTGGCTTCACATTCACCATCAGGAGTTTAACTGGGAAGACTAGAGAAGTTTTTATACATTCAGAACTTCATGAAGAGACGCATGAGGAAATACCTCACGCTAAAGCAACAGTTCCTGAAAAATGAAGGTTAGCTGAAAATATTAGCTCACCCTCAGTTCATCTGAGATCAGGATGAGTTTGTTTCTTCATCAGGTTTGTAGAAATGCAGCATTGCATCAGTGTCTCAGCAATGGATGCTCTGCAGTGAATGGGTGCCGTCAGAACGAGAGTCCAAACAGCTGATAAAAACATCACAATAATCCACAAGTAATCCACAGCACTCCAGTCCATCAGTTAACATCTGGAGAAGACAAAAGCTGAAACTAATCCAGCATTACGACGCTTTTATAACCCATAATAACGCTTCCTCCAGATTTTTATGAATCGTAACCATTTATAATAAGATTCCATTGGTAACATTAACATTAATAAAATCTGTAGAAGTATTGTTCATTGTGAGATGATGTTCATTTCAATATTTACTAATACATTTTTAAGTTTTAAAGTTGTATCTGTTCACATTAGTTAATGCACTAAGTAGCAACATGAATTATCAAGGTATTTCCTAAATTTAATTTTATTTAACAAAGTACAGTACATTCTTATGGTTCAGTACTTTATTTTTAATTAATGTATTTTTATTGTCTTTTTGCATATTGGTAATACAGATATAATGCTGGATCGCTGCTGGATAGTGAAAAATGTTTTTGCTTCAATACTTTTTATATTTTATTTATAATAAAGCTCCGCACTATCCACTATTATATTTGTTTTCGTTCAGAATTCATTTTAAAAACTGTCGGTGGTTTAATCGGTTATTGGTCAGTGCAGTCCTAATTATCAGTTGACGAGTTCACACTTACATATAATAAACAGAGTAAAGGTAAAGAGTATTTGGCGTGCTGTCCGAGAAGTGTGTGTGTGTGTGTGTGTGTGAGAGAGAGAGAGAAAGAGAGTGTGTGTGAATAACTTAACCACACTTCACATTCAGTGCTTTTCACAATTTTGCATGGTTGCAAAGCAGCTTTACATACATGCAGAAACTAGTTACAAAAGTAAAGATGTAAACAACATATAGCAAGTTAGTTTGAAATGAAAGACATTCACGTACTTGAGTGTGTGTGTTCTTGAGAGAGTAAGCAAACACCTAAAACATCCTAGCAGCTGCATATCAATGAAGAACTGAAGTTTGTGGGGTTGAACGGGTAGTTAGTGGCTAGTTAATCTAGTTGTTGTGTTGTAAATCAGCAGCGAGGCGTGTGTTTGGCGCAGCAGCTGGTTTAGTCTGTGGGTTCGGAGGGTTTGTTTGTTTGACTGGAGCTGATAAGATAAAGAGAGCATGTTGTTCAGGGTTAAAACAACAGCAGCGCTGCGAGACAATACTCGCAATTAGCATTCCATTGTGTGCTCATTAGCACTGATCTCAGGTCAGCGAGGAACGGCAGGACTGTTTGTGTTCTCAGACAAACACTGTAATCCTGTCAGAGTCACAGCTGAGCCAATCAGACATCAGAACGAGATCATGATCGCCGGAATACTGGCCTCTGATTGGTCAGTGGCTTCACATTCACCATCAGGAGTTTAACTGGGAAGACTAGAGAAGTTTTTATACATTCAGAACTTCATGAAGAGACGCATGAGGAAATACCTCACGCTAAAGCAACAGTTCCTGAAAAATGAAGGTTAGCTGAAAATATTAGCTCACCCTCAGTTCATCTGAGATCAGGATGAGTTTGTTTCTTCATCAGGTTTGTAGAAATGCAGCATTGCATCAGTGTCTCAGCAATGGATGCTCTGCAGTGAATGGGTGCCGTCAGAACGAGAGTCCAAACAGCTGATAAAAACATCACAATAATCCACAAGTAATCCACAGCACTCCAGTCCATCAGTTAACATCTGGAGAAGACAAAAGCTGAAACTAATCCAGCATTACGACGCTTTTATAACCCATAATAACGCTTCCTCCAGATTTTTATGAATCGTAACCATTTATAATAAGATTCCATTGGTAACATTAACATTAATAAAATCTGTAGAAGTATTGTTCATTGTGAGATGATGTTCATTTCAATATTTACTAATACATTTTTAAGTTTTAAAGTTGTATCTGTTCACATTAGTTAATGCACTAAGTAGCAACATGAATTATCAAGGTATTTCCTAAATTTAATTTTATTTAACAAAGTACAGTACATTCTTATGGTTCAGTACTTTATTTTTAATTAATGTATTTTTATTGTCTTTTTGCATATTGGTAATACAGATATAATGCTGGATCGCTGCTGGATAGTGAAAAATGTTTTTGCTTCAATACTTTTTATATTTTATTTATAATAAAGCTCCGCACTATCCACTATTATATTTGTTTTCGTTCAGAATTCATTTTAAAAACT